TTCTCGAAATTTAAAGAGACAGTTTCCAATTAAAACCAAACAGCCACAGCCGGCCCTGAACTGTTTACCACTAGAAAAAAGGCCTGAATGGGGATTGTGGGACAGGACAAGCAGACAAAAAAAGGAAATAAGCCAAAAATTAAATCCTAAGTTCCGTCAGAGCTTGATCAACAACAACACAGAGCACCGGGCCAAGAAGGCTCAAGAGACAGTGTTGGAACTTTGAAACAAATATAAAGCTATGTTTGGAGGATTGAAGGGTTTACAGCTAGGGAATTTGAAGGGAATTCAGAAATCCATTGTATTCTGGATCAAGACACTCAGCTGTTCCAGGGGCCGCCATCTTGGGAGACAACATCTTGATTGTATTAAGATTGATAGTATTAGTGCCCATAGTGTCAGGAATTTACACAAATTCCTAAACTTAAGACTAGTTAGCCCTTCCTCTTCTTTCTCTTCTCAAGATAAACAGGTTCCAATGAAAGATAGCCAAACTCAGCCCATTTCTTCTTTGCTGCATTTCCCTCATTTGCTCTCAAGAAGTAGCCCCTGGTGAGTCACCAGCAAGCTTACTACTCCTCACCAGCTCCCTTTAACTTTCAGTCCTGGAAGGGTGTTTTCTCTAATGGGCACAGACTTTTCTAGCATTGATGCCTCCAAAGCAAACCTCTTGATTGAAACTCAAAATGCCAAAAAGTCCACTGTTTTCTGCAGGTGTTTTGTTTCAGCCATGAATCTCCTTTTCTCTCAGTAATTTTTGCTTGGTCTGCGTGTGTTTTCACATGCAAATGTTCCAACTCTAATCATTCTGGGTGGGAGTTCAGGATTCTACCTAAGACCCCATATGCTATTAAGGCTTAAAACAAGAAGCCTATATTTTCTGGGTAAATTTTAACTCCTCTTTTAGCAAATCCAATCAAGTATAAGTTGAAGACAGGCTTACAAGCGCTCTGTAATAATTCCCAATATTCATTTCCATAACATATGTACATTTATTTTATAATACTGGGCATAAGAAACAAATATCCATTAGGTGGTCAACTACAAAAACTTTTAAAAACACTCAAGTTCAATATTTTCTTCACTCTTGGACCAACCCCACTCATATGCATATGGCCTTGGGCCTCGCAGGTGGATCCAGAAGATTCTGGTCTCCTATCAGCCATGTTTTGGACTGCCAAAAGAACCAATAGATCTGTTTTGGAAGAAGTGCAGCCAGAGTGCTCCTTGGAGGTCAGGATGGCTAAGCTTCATCTCTCATACTTTGGACATATTGTCAGGAGGGAACAGTAGCTGGAGAAGGATGTCATGCTGGGTAAGATGGAGGGTCAAAGAAAAAGAGGAAGACCCCCAACGAGATGGATCGGCCAGTTGGCATCATTGATGGCATCAAATGTGGCAGCGGTAGTGGGGTTGGCCCAGGATCGGACATTGTTTCTTTCTGCTGTGCATGGGGTCGCTATGAGTCAGTTCCGACTCGATGGCACCTGACAACAACAACATCAGCCATGTTTAACCGGCATGACATCTGCTTTGTATAACTCCAGAAGCTGCTTTATGCCCCTCAGCTTATGCATTTTATCTCTTACAAAGATTGAAAGAGATAAAATAACAATAGCAGATGAAATAACAAAACCAAAATAACTGTAAAAATCAAATGTTTCACTTCCCATCTCCCTTAGTTCTTTCTCTTACAAAGCTTCATGCTTCCATGAATCTGTAGCCATTGCCGTGAATTCTACTCCTGATGCTAACTAAGTGCAAAAAGCATTGCTGAACCATGTCTGACTCCCTCTGACTTCACAAGGGGAAAGAGAACCAAACTCAAATTCAGCCCAATATGATTTCTATGAAGTGGAGTTCAGACATGCCTCCACTTCATATCCTTTTTTACTAGTAAGGCAGAGTTATCAGTGTCTTTAAAATTAGTCCAGCTTGAGAACCAATTTGGAAAACTGATGCTTGTGATTTTGTTTCTCTAGAATCCCACTTCTGGTACCACATGTCTTAGGCTGGTTACTCTAGAGAAGCAAAACAGTAACACTTACATATGTTTAAGAGAGGGATAGATGGAAATGGCTCATAATTGTAGAGTCACAGGTGGAAACGAGAGCAAGCTTTTCCTTTGTGCCTAGTATACTGGGAGTGGGCCACACTCCCAAGGAACCATCCTTTCAGTTGAATTGGCAGCTCATAGCCACTTATCATAGTGTTAAATACGCCTGCTCATTGTCAGTTATCAAAAAGCTAGCTATGCCTGTAGCGGGTTTTAACATGGAGATGACCACATCTCAATTGCCAAACCACTGGGAATCCCAGCCAGTTAAATTGACACAAAACCTTAACTATCACAGTGCCTAACACATCCTAAGTACTAAGGAAGATGCCAGAAATCTGATGATGAGCAAAACTCAGGTTTACATTCTAATTGACTTACTCTATGAATGAGATAAAGAAATTCTTACATATTGGAGGAAATGACTAGAAAAATAGGGGGAAACATTGTTATGTGCCATTGAGTCAGTTCTGACTCATAGTGACCTTATGTACAACAGATGGAAGAACTCTCTGATCCTGTGCAGTCTTCACAATCATGTGTATGTTTGATCCTATTGGTACACTTAGAGTTTCTTTTCATCTCATTGATGAGCTACCTCTTTTTTGCTGGCCTTTTACTTTACCAAGTGTGATGTACGTCTCCAGGGACTGGTTCCTTCTGATAACATATCCAAAGTACCTGAGATAAAGAGTGATGACAGCGGTGCATTCGTGATTCATAGCTCAGTCTAAATCATTTTAATAAGGGAATATGGAAGTTTTTTGACAGATGGACAAAGAGTATTGAAAAGCAAGGAAATTATGTAAAAAAATGATGTTTTTGTCTTTTCTAAAAGTTGATTACATAAATTATACAGGCAAAGTGTGGATAATTTTTGACTCATTCTTATAATATTTAAGATAAACTGACTTTTCATTTGATAAACAAGGGAAACAGATCCAATGATAGTTTTCAAAGACATTGTTGTTACAAAACATCTACTTTTACATTTCTGACCCTCGCAGTCAGTCCTGATAGCAATTATTCACTATTGTACCACAAGAGTCCTATTCCTACCTGCTTTCATCAGCCCTGTCCCAGCAGTTGGAAATGACTCAGTGGAAAGTCTACCTTCCCCCACCCCCTCTGGAACTAAGCTCCCTCTTGAAAGCTTGTAAGCCAGTCACATCTTGCCTTTGTAGCTCCCCCTGCGCCCATTTTGGGTACCTAATGTAAGGAGCTCTGGTAGCGTAGTGCTTACGAATCGGGCTGTGAACCATAAGCTCAGCGGTTCGAAACTACCAGCCGCACCGCGGGAGAAAGATGAGGCTTTCTACTCCCGTAAAGATTTACACCCTCGGAAACCCTGTACAGGGTCGCTATGGGTCGGAACCGACTCGACGGCACTTAACAACAACAACAACAAATGTATTGATACTAATAGAGTTTTATATGTGCATGTGAGTACACATACGTTAGTAGTTTATGTGTTTAGGTTTGTGTATATATTTTGTAGGCACATCCACAAAGACATGTGTTCTTCTGAAAGATATTGTAATTTTGTAGTTTCTTTCTGAAGTAGTGAATACATAAAGAGACTCTTGATTTCTTTCTGTTTATTTTATACCAGGTTTTAAAAAAAAGAGAAAAAGTTAATGAGTAAATGATACAAATGAGTTTGAATTGTCTGTGGTTAGAAATATTTTAAGTGTTAAGCAATAAAATTGGAGAACATTCAAGTTTTTTTTAGAAGTTTTAACAGATAAAACTTGGGTTGCAATCAATTGAAAATAAAACCCTTTTACTTTTGTGGCATGAAACTGGTTTAAAATGACTTGCTACCTTATTTATTATAAAACATATTGAGAGATAATAGAATAATAGGATAGTAAAGTATTTCTCTAATACACAAGTACTGACATGCCAATTATTTTTTCACTCACTTTTCTCTCACTTATGTGCTTTTGCAAAACAAAATAAAATAATAAAGCAGCACATTATATCATCAACATTTTTTGGTATTATTTTTGTTATGTGCCATCTAGTAGGTATTGACTCGTAGTGACCCTGCATAGGGTTTCTGAGGACCAACTATTGAATTTAAACCCCCAAATTTGTAGTTCAAGCCAACCTTGCTGTCCAGTGCTCATCCTATAGCGCCAAATGAAATCTTTGTTATTTATTTAAACAAAATGCTTTCTTACTTCTTTGTGGAATTCTAACTTATAATAAATGCATTATAAACTCTTTGATTAATAAAATCCCATATGACGATTATTAACAAGTCATTATGCATGCTTTTTAAATAATTATTTTGAAAATATTAACTATGCCCCCATTACATGGGAAATAGATTCCTAAACTGTTTAGCAAAAACAAAAATATATTTATTAGAATGATATTGAATTTTTAGACTCTTGATATTATTTTATAGTGAATTAAATATGTAAAATTAAGTCCCTTTATTGAATTATCTGCTTTATAACTTTTGGTGTCCTGGTGTGGCACTGTGGATGAATTGGATTGCAAAGTCAGCTTGAATCGCAAGGTCAGCGGTTCAAGCTCAGTACTTTCTCCTCGGAAACCCTATACAGGGTCACTATGGGTTAAAACTGACTTGATGGCACTTCACAACAACAAAAATGGTGGTTACTTTAACATTGTATGAATTTCACCTTTACTGGTTCATATATATGGTGTTTTGGGATATTTTAAATGACTATATTTTTAAAAAAATAGACAACAATTGCTTCTCTCCAACCAATGAGTGTGTTGCTCAATTTTCATTATCTGTGGTATGGAATTCACTTAACATACTCAATAAAATAATTTACTTTTATTTTTTATGATTTATATTACAGACATAAGATTTCAAAATTAGTTTATATCTAATGATTTTTATAAAAACGATATGTGAAACTCACATAAATTCATATAAATATATTTTTTTTTCTATTTGCAGGGTACAAGTTGAATTCTATATGAATGAAAACACATTTAAAGAGAGACTAAAGTTATTTTTCATTAAAAACCAGAGATCAAGTAAGTCATTAATTCCATCCCCTTTCTCTACGTGCTCTAAATATATGTTTACTTCAAAACATTCCTGCCATGCAATCTTTTTGTAAAATACTTTTTATATAAAGGCAATGCTGTTCTGCACCTTGGATTCCTTTCTGACTCATAGAAACTTCATGTCACAGACTAGAAACTGCCCATAGGATTTCCTAGGCTGTAATCTTTATTGGAAGGAGCTCTGGTAGCGTAGTGGTTACAAATTGGACTGCGAACTGCAAGGTCAGTAGTTCGCAACTACCAGCTGCTCTGCAGGATAAAGAGGAGGCTTTCTGCTCCGGTAAAGATTTACGGCCTCGGAAACGCTGTACAGGGTCGCTATGCGTCGGAAACTACTCCACGCCACATAATAACAACAACAATGTTTATTGGAGTAGTTCGCCAGGTTTTTCCTCTTGTGGAATCCCTCATGAGTTTGAAATTCTGATCTTTAGGTTAGGAGCTGAGCGCTTAACTATTGTGCCACCAGAGCCCCTTTATAAAGACAATATAATTGCTAATCTCATCTGCCAGGCAGCAATATTTTAGATAAGCTACATGGAGCTCTAGTAGCATAGTGGTTACGCATTGGGCTGTGAACGACAAGGTCAGCAGTTCGAAACTACCAGCTGTTCCACAGGAGAAAAAAAAGGCATTTTGCTCCCGAAACGCTATGAGTCGGAACCGACTCCAATGCACATAACAACAACTACAAGCTACAATTGGTGATGTTAAAGTCTCTTGAACATTTTTAATACCACAAATTCCACACTAATAAATAGAGTTTTGAGTAGTTTACTGACTGTGTTGATTGAAACATTAAAGGAAAACTTTAAATGAGGAGTTCTTACATTTTATTGTAAGTCCAACTAAAGTTTCTTGTTTGGAAAAGGCTTTGGCAATACTAACTCACCACAAATGGAGATATTAGTAATTTAGTGGTAGAGTTCAGTGGTTCCCAATCATGCCTAATAATGATAAACATTTAGGGTGCTCTGAAATACACAGATTCTGAGTATCCTTCCCTGCACATTTAAAATTTGTAAGAGCATGGTGGCTATGTAGGATGCTGTGCTGGACTGCTAACCACAAGGTCGGCAGTTTTAGCCTGTATTACTATGCATTGCAATCGACTCAAGGCACCTAAAAACAACAACAGGACAAGACGGAGTCTTGAAACGTCCCATCATCAAACATGTTTGGGGAACATTGGCACTTGGCTAGTCACAGCCCTCCTAAATCTGTTCAAGATTGAAGTGCTAGTGATACTTACTGTGTACATATTATCATGTATTAAAACACATATAGTAAACCAGTATGTAACTTTGCATGTAATTTCTGCTTAAAAAGTCAACAAACAATGGCGAGGTCTGCCTTTGATTGGTATAAATTTTCAGTTCTGTCCATTTTAACCCCTAATCCTTTTGGGGATTTCTGTAAGGTTCAAAACGACAAGGCTGAATTGTGAGAAGGCATCCAAATACTTGCCATAGGAGATATATCAATATTTAAAGTAGACTGGTTAGAGATTCTCAGTGTCATACTAGCTTTGGCGGTAAGGCTGGGAATAATGCCTTTCAAACCTGTGTGGTTAAAATTGTCAAGGAAGCCACACCAATAGATATTACATGATGAACTCCTGGTGTGGCACTCTAGGATAAGCACCAGACTGCTAACTGGAAGATCAGTAGTACAAACCCATCAGCAGCTCCTTAAAAATCCTACATGTGGTTGCTATATTTGGAAGCGACTCAAGGGCACTTAACAACAACGATAATAACAAATGGGTCACATCATCTAATCTTTTTCTTGATTTCAATGCTAATAATAAGATCGCTCCAGACCAGAAAAGTCAAATGCGTTGTTTTATACTTCATTTGCCAGCAGCTTGGACTAAGCAGTCATTTGAGGAAACCAGTTTTATAAACCCAGGGCAATCTTATTACTCATTTCAAAGACTACAAAAAATTCACCCATAAAATGTATGTGGCATTTTAAAAAGGAAACATCAAAAAATAAACACATGATTAAAAAGCTTTAACCTTTTGCTATTCAGAAATGTTATTCCAAGAACACTCACATAAAGCTGAAAAAGTTTGTTTAAAAAAATTGGTATTGCATTTCCAGGTTTTATTAAGAAATAATCTTGAGAAGGCCTTCCTCAAAAATTTAATTCATAATGCCTGAATCAGATTTTGTTGCTGTTAAGAGGTCTCCTGACTCATGTCGACCCTGTCTAGGACTTCTGATGAGTGGCTGGTGAACTTGAATTGCTGAACTTGTGAGTACCAGTCCAGTGCTTATCCTACAGTGCCACACCAGGACTCCATGATTCAGACACCATCTTATAGAAAGGATAATACTTTTATTATTCAGACATTAAGCATGTTTTGCTTCATCATAATTGCTCTTCTTTGTCATGATGAAGAATTATAGGGTAGTTAACTGTGACTTACACAGTTAAAATACAATGGATTTTAAAATTTCATTGTACTTATTTTAGACTGAAAAGCAATGATTAACTGTTCCAGCTCCAAATGGGAGAAAACACAACCTGTGTGTTTCTAGGTGCATGTTTCTGTCTGAGTGTGTGTGCGTTTGTGTTTCTTAGCATATGCTGTCATGCTCTCTTTATAATAAAATCTACACAGTATGCTGAAGGTACAATATTTATAACTTATCTTGTGAATTTGTTACAGCTAATTTTTCTAGCAAGCTGAAATTGATTTACATATTCATGAATACTTAAAATTTTAAACATAATTTACTGGGCATGAATTTTATGGCGTCTGAATGCAAAAAAATTACTCATGGTGTATAATATTTGCTGTCATTTGAAGTTCATGTATTCTATCCAACTTACTCTTTGTTTTAATATTCAGCTAATTAAAATTCAGCTACCTAGAGCTTCAGAGAGTTGAGACAATTATAGTATTGTACTTTCTAAATGTGATTTAAGTGCTGTGCATAAAGATGATATTTTTGACAATTCTTTTTAATCTTTTGTGAACTGAGTTCAAAATGAAAATCACACTTTTGTTATTTGTTTAAAGGTTTAAGAATACGACTGTTCAATTTTTCTCTCAAATTATTAAGCTGCTTATTATATATAATCAGAGTGCTACTAGAAAATCCATCACAAGGAAATGAATGGTAAGGTATCTTTATTTCATCTTTACCAGTTATCCACTGCTTACTTTGAATTGTATTACAGTTTTTTTAACTGTGCTATATAGAATTCATATTTTAAAGATGTTTTACGTATTTGTCACAAATTAAGTTGATGCAAATCACACACAATATATGAATGCAATCCTTGTAGCTTCTCTGTAAACATCTCTCTCTTTTAATGCATATCATTTATGCATAATAATACTGGACACCAACCCATATAAATCTTTTTTGCTAATCAAAGTATACTAAGTAATTTTTGGTAAAAATATACAAACAAAATTTACATACCTATTCTTCATTCTCCATAAATTGTATCGTCATGGTTGCTATCCCTACTCCTATTGTTTCACCACATTAACTTTGACTTTTTGTTTCTAAAACTTCTACTTTGTTTTTTAGGGTTACTGTGTCAATTTCGTCTCATATAGATTTTTTTTTTTTTTAAAAAGCACAGTGCTCAAGGCAAACATTCTTTACTAGTTGAGCTAAACTGTTGTTTATTTTAAAGATGACTTCATGAGATAGATTTGGTCCAAGTCTTAAAGATTATCTCTGGACAATAGATTGACAGTTTCTCCTGTCTCAATGGCTTCTCTAAATCTAGTCTCTATAAGAATTTGAAATTCTGTTCCATATTTCCCCTCATTTTTATCACAGTCCATTTACTGGAAAGTGTATCAAAGTGTTTAGTAGTTGATATCTGACACCATCCAGTTCTTCGGGTCTCATGGCACATGAGATAGTTCCTGGAGTCAATTAGACCTGCCGTCTATTTCCTTCTGCAATTCCTGGGTTTCCTTCCTCTGCTGTCACAGGAGAATAGAAATCATTTGTTTCTTGCATGGTCACTTGTTAGCCTTTAATACTGCAGACATTACTTACTGCATTAGATTTACTATATTGTTGCTGTTGTTGTTAAGTGCCGTTGAGTCAGTTCCAACCCATAGCGACCCTGGATAGGGTTTCCGAGGCTGTAAATCTTTACGGGAGCAGAAAGCCTCATCTTTCTCCCGTGGAACCGCTGGTAGTTTTGAACTGCTGACCTTGAGGTTTGCAGCCCAACTCATAACCACTGTGCTACCAGAGCTCCTTAGAGACTTAAAAAAACAACATTGGGGAAGTAGGCTAGTCAGGCCCTCAAAATCATGACCCTAAACATTTAGATCAATAGAACTCATCTCAGGAGGTGTTAGTTAGGCCTTAGTTGTTGTTGTTGATGTTGTTATCAGGTGCCATCGAGTCACAACCGACTCATAGTGACCCCATGCACAGCAGAACGAAACAATGTCTGATCCTGGCTGGGTCTTAGTAATATCAACAATTGCTACCTCTCTTGTAATTTATTATTATTTTAATTTTGATGGTCCTTTTCTTAATTTGTCCTTTATCTGGTGTACATCTTAGTGATACCAGTTACATTTGTCAAGTGTGTAACCATTAACTCTAGGCAGCATCAGTTTTCCCATCACCATAAATAAAAATTCACTATTTCCCAGAAATCAAAGCCCTCTCTCCCTTATGTCTGACAGCACTAAAAACTATTGCTCTCTATACATTTACCCATTCTTGTCATTTCATATAAGTGAAATTCAGTGTCATTTAATACATTGTCTTTTTGTGATTGATCGGGTTTAGTCAGTATAATCTTTTGAGGTTCATCCATATAGCATATGGCAGGACTTCTTTTATCATGAAAACTTAGTAATATTGTGTTGTATATATGTATCACATTTTTCTGTACCATTTACCTGTTGTTGAACACCTTTTAGTTACTGTGGATAGTGCATCAATGAACATAGTTATGCATGTCATTTGTTGTTGTTTTTGTTAAGTGCCATTGAGTTGGTTTTGACTCATAGCAACCCTGTATAGTTTCCTATAGAGTGGCCAGTGGGTTTGAACCACCAGCCTTTGGATTAGCAGTCCAGTGATTATCCTCCAGCACCACACTAGGACTCCATAAATAATAGTTGTATAAAATGGGTTAGTTTCTTAAAACAAACCTGAAAGCTTTTCTGTTCTTAGTCATATGCAGTTGCAAATGGTTTCACTCTACTGTGCCAGTTTTGTAGGTATTTTAAGTTATGCTTGAGCCATTTCTCTCGAATGGAAACACTCCAGCACATATTGAAATTCCAGCTATCTGAAGTCTCAGTCTTAGTCTGTGCAGTTGTTTTTCTTGTTTGAATCAAATAGCTTTTTTCCCCCATTTATTATCATGTTGCTTTTATAAAATTGAATTACTATTCATTATGAACTTTCCTTTTTAAGCTTTATGTTTTGCTTGCTGTATGCAGGAGAGAAGAGGACTGTGCAAGTAATGGCTTGAATACTTTTTATATAATCATCATGCTGGACCCCTGTCCAGGGTCCTAAATTCAGTTTGCAAAGTTGAATACTTAAATTTGATGGCTGGTTTATGTACATTTTTTTTTCATGTAAATGTTTGCCTTAGACATTTTTTTAATGAAAATTTAAGAGTAAAATGTAATGTTAAGTTATAATATGTATTTAAATGATTATTTTTCAGCTTATTTAGATAGTGAAAATGGTTCCATGTTTACTAAAGGGTTTGAAAATGAGTTAAATATTAAAAATTGGAGTTTTATAGTGTACTGATTTGATAGATATATAAATAGTATCTACTTAATAAGCTGTAATTATAGACAGGAGTCCTGGTATGGTGCTGTAGGATAAGGACTGGACCAAAAGATTGGTTTGAACTGCAAGGTATGTAGTTCAAACTCACCAGCCACTCCTTGGTTACTGTGAGTCAGAGTCAACTAGATGATATTTAGCAACAACAATTTACAATCGCAATTACAGATAGGGGATGTGGTGGCTACATACAATAAACCTGTGACTGCACCACAAGGTAGGCAGTTCAAACCCACGTGCTGCTCAGTGGGAGAAAGAGGAGGCTTTCTGCTGTCACACGATTTGAGGAGCCAGAAATGCTAGACAGGGTCATTATGAGACTTCATCGATTTGATAGTACTTAATGAGCTCTGGTAAGGAGCTCTGGTAGCGTAGTGGTTACGAATCGGGCTGCGAACCTTGAGGTCAGCGGTTCGAAACTACCAGCCGCTCCGCGGGAGAAAGATGAGGCTTTCTACTCCCGTAAAGATTTACACCCTCGGTGTGGCGCTGT